TAAATCATTCTAGTGCTTAACTGCTCTCACCCTTAAAAATATACACCCTCTGGATCTGTCTAGCTTCAATGTCCAGCTATTGGGTGGTGGTAGACCTTTGTCTGCTAGACTGAAAAGCCCATTGTTAAACATTTGTTCCCCATGTAGGTACTTATAAACTGTGATCAAGTCACCCTTAGCCTTCCCTTTATTCAGCTAAATAGGAGTCTAGCACTATAATGTTTTCCAGGCTGTCCCACCATGGGAGACCAGGGACCCAATTCTGATAGGAAGACTAATGGGTAGGGCCGCATGGTGCGGGACTCAGGAGACTGGGGTTTCATTCCTCGCTCTACCCAGATTTCCGGTATGAAATTGGGCAAGTCACTTTGCTGCCCCGTGCCTCAGTTTAAAAAGGGGACACTGCTGCCCTACCTCAAGGGGGGGCGGGGCAGGGATTGTGAGGACAAAATCTATGACTGATTTGTAGATTTTTAAGGCCAGAGGGGTTCGTTGGAATGTCTGGCCTCTCCCCCTGGATAACCCAGGCCGTAGGACTGCGCTGATTCGCGCCTGGCTGTGATGTGCCACGGGGTGAGGGACATACAGGCACCTAGACAGCCCCATGTCAGTGCACAGTGATTCCCCGACAGCAAAGGAGGCAGAGCAGTGCTCGACTCATGGCCTCGCTGCCTCACTATAGCATTGCTCTCTCCTTTACATGCCAGCCGAGACCGAGCACCCAAGTCTGGACTAGATGGGCCCCCAGGGTGTGCGGGGCAGCCAGGCCTGAGCCTCCTGTGCTAATAATACTCATCCCTAGTTCTTCTCTGCCATAGATCTCAAAGTGCTTTTCAAAGGAGGGCAGTATTATTATCACCCTTTTACCAATGCGGAAACTGAGGCACAGAGTGGTGCGGTGACATACCCATGTCATCCAGCAGCCGAGCCAGGAATAGAATCCAGGTCTCCATCCACTAGGCCACGCTGGGTGAAGGGGAAATTTGGGGTGAGTGGCCTAAATTCTAGGTCCCACCTCCCAGGTGGCATCTGAGGGAATGCTGAGAGGATCCTGGCCTCGGGCAGGGTTTGTACTCAGACACCCACCCCGGTCTTAATGGGTGTTTCACACCCACACAGCAGCGAGCTGGAGTGGCCCACTGGTTAAGGTCGGGACTCTGGAGATGTTGGTTTGACTCCCAGGTCTGCCACAAACTCCCTGTGTGACATGTGCCTGTGCCTCAGTTTCCCCTCTGTACAATGGGGATAATGGCACTGCCTTATCTCCCAGGGGTGCAGTGGGTATAAATACATTAATGATTGTGAGGCAGCAGGCCTACAGGGGCCAGTTAACTGTGTGCAGAGCTCCCCAGAGTGAGTGCAAATGTATGTCACTGCATCACCTCCCCAGAATCCTCCCAGCCTATGGCTGTGTGAGCTGAGTCTGTGGCTATAAAGTGACAGCCCCGGGGCACACTCAAAGCAAGGACTCCTCTCAGCTTGGACTGAGGCCCTGGGGGATGGGGAGGCATGGCACGGACTGGCATCGGTCTGACTCCCGAGCTCAGGACTTTCACTTCCATGCTGCAGTTTCCTGACTTCCATCCACTACAACAATAAATGGGGAACCGAGAAATCTCTTCTGCTGGGAGAGGATGGGGGGAAGGTGCAGCTGGGGAATACTGCTGCCTTCACAAAACTAAATCTGCTGATTTTAAAAAATAGCCCGTCTCGTGCTTTGAGCCTGTCACGCAGCTCACTATAGAGCCAGTGAGCTGAAGGTCATCAGACCATCCAGTGTGATCTCCTGCATAGCACAGGCCAGAGAATGTGGCCCATTTACCCCTGCACTGAGTCCCATCGCTTACGTTTGGCTAAAGCATCTTCCAGGAAGGCCTCCAGGCTGGTTTTGATGCCACCAAGAAAAAGAGAATCCACCAGCAGTCTGTTCTGATGGTTAACCACCCTCGCTGTTAAAGCCGTGTCTTGTTTCTAGTCAGAAGTGTCTGCCTTCAGCGCCAAGCCTTTGGTTGTCATGCCTATTCTCTGCTCAGAGAGCAGCTGGTGTTTTCTCCCAGGGAGGTACTGAGACACTGTCACCAGAACCCCACCCTGCTGGATCTTCTCCTCCATAAGCGAAACACACGGAGCTCTTTCAGTCTCTCATTGTCAGGCATTTTTTCCCACCATCAAAGCCTTTTCCCAATTCTTCCCGGCACCCTCTCCAATTTTGCAGCATCCTGGGTGCTCTCATTACTGGTGAAACAGGGCCAGAGAGACTGAGATGAGAGTGAGGAAGCCCAGGTGGCAAGGAAAGGCAGGCCCTGCAGTAGCCCTCAGTGGCTATGGGGCCCGAGGTCACAGGGCCGGGAAGCTGGAAGAGGTTCCCTGCAGCACATTTGGTGCGGGGCGCTGGGGTACAGGAGGCACAGGGTGGGAAGGTGACTGGTTCAGGGGCTGTGCGTGCCAGGAACTGAGCAATGGCCCCTGGTGAAGGAGCCCAGAATGGGAAGGTGACACCAATTCACTGGCCCAAAGGATACCCACAGCCCCAGGGACTAGCAGGAAGGGAGAGCGCAGCAGCGATCCCGCTTTCTTTGTGAGGGAAGCTCCAGTGAGGAGGCCGCATGGAGATCCCTGGGGACTGACAGCCTCTGTGTAGCTGCTGACTGGCTACGCAGCCGACCAGTTTGCCCACACCACACCACACACTGCCCCTCCCGCTCCCCTGCCTCCGGGACAAAATGTTTGACTTCTGCCATGGAGAAATGCCCCCTGCAGGCATGTGAAGGAAATACAGTCTCTATCCCACCCATAAGGCCAGATCCCCAGCTGGTGTCAATCAGCCGTAGCGTCATTGGAGCCAGTTGGCCGGATCCCCAGCTGGGGTAAATCAGCTGTCACTCCATGGGAGTCAATGAAGCAATGTCAATTTCCACCAGCTGAGGATCTTACCCTTTCAGTCTCTCTGCCGCCTTAGCGCCAAGGATAGTGGCTGTTTTGTGGCACTGCAGCCTGGGCAAGCTAACTCCCCACGTGGGGAGGAAGACAGTCACAACGCAGCCACCAAAGTGGGTGACTGTGCCTCATCTTCCCAGGGAGCATGGGCACCATTGGCGGGAGGGGGAGAAGGGACTGTAGGCGCTGACCACCGGGTCCCTCTCAGCCAGACACCTCTGGTGTTCTTGTCTATGTGTTAACTACGTAGCTCACACCGAAGGGCATTAAGTTACTAGCAATGACTTACTGTTAAGACTAGTGGATTACCTGAATATAAACAACACGACTCCAGGGGCTGGAATAGAGTGAGGGGCTGCTCAAAGAAGAGCTGGACACCACCAGGGTCTTAGTACAAGGGAGCAGGTTCCTTCAAGAGGAGACAGGGCCCAATCTACCCAAGGCTGGCTTCTTTAGAGAGAACGAGCCCAACTCAGCCCACCTGTAGTGATTAACCATCTAGGTGGCTGGTTGGCAGCTCATTGAATGAGGAGCACCTGAGCCTGCAAAGCTACCAGAACGCAGTTAAAAGAGAGTGGGTCTAGGCGGAGGGATTCCCCAAGCACCTATCCTGGCCCTGCCCTGCCCTGCCCCGCCCCGCCCCGCCCCACTCGATCCGATCCGATCCGATCCTATCCTATCCTATCCCATGACAGGAACCTGCCTGGTTTGTACCAACCCAGCTCCAGGGGCAGGGCTGGTGATTCCAGAAAGAGGCCAAACTGAGCCTCTATAGGGACCCGAATGAAGAGGGGTTTAGACTCTCTCAAAGAGCTAATACATCAGACCTCCCTCTGCTTGAGGTACCCTGCGGTCAGTAACTGATTGATAGAAGGGAGGGAGCTGAGGGCAATGCACCCTCAGGGCCACCAGGGGGCAGGCACCTCAACACTTGTACTTTCCCAGGGAGTCAAGGCCATAGCAGTGGGTCTGGCTATAGACACCCCCAGCTCCCATCAAGCTCATGGATGGAGTTTCCCTCCGGCTTTCTCCTGTTCTCCCTCCCACCCCCAGCAGCCCTTAGGGTCTTCCATGCCCTCGGAACCAGAGGCGGCCTTGGGGCCCTTAGAGCTGCTGTGTCATGCTTTCTCTGGACGGCTGCAGCTGCATGCCCAGGCGGAAGGGAACACGCCCTGCCCCTCGCAACGAGCTTAGTGCCGCTCCCACCTGGCAAAGAGATCGAGGGGGAGAGGCTGTGGGTCAGGATGGAGGGGCTTCAGCAGGTGGGGGAGCCCAAGGCTAGGGTAACGGGGGGCCGTGAGTCAGGATTGAAGGGCATTGGCACAGCTGCAGGGGGCAGGGCTTGGATAGCGGGGCAGCTGCGGGGCGGGCCTAAGCTGCATTAGAGGACCTGGCTGTGGCTACTTCACCCAGAGTCGTGAGGGACAAGAGCAGACCAGCAAGGGGGCCTGGGGACAGTGGAGGGGCAGGAGGCGCCAGGGCAGGAACAGCAGGGGGATGGAATCAAGCTTGCAGGGACTTCCTGTCTATTCTACCAGCTCCCACCACCAGCTGCTGCTCATTCCCCTCCCCCCCCCCCCCGCCCCAATCTCCCTGTGTGGGGCAGGCTGGGAGAGCATGCGGGGCACAGGGGGGCACTGAGAGATCTGGGCAGGCTTTAGATAAGCATGTGGGGCCTGATGCTCAACGGGTGTAAATGAGCAGACTCCAATGTAGCGACACCAGTGTACACCTGCTGGGGCCCTGTCCCTTGGACGCTGGGATATGGAGCCAGAGGAATCCAGTCACTGCTCCCCAAACCTCTCAGGGTTCCCCCAACCCTTTCCAAGGCCTGGAGTTCACTTTCATTTCCTGGGGACTGTACATCCAGCATCTGGCCCCTTGAGACGCCTGTGATCTGGGTTAGGGTCACCAGGTGCAGCAGGTCTCCTGGCTGGAGGCCATGAGGGAAGCCTCAGAGAAGAGGTCGCTGCCAGCCCTGGGGTATAATTCACCCAAGTTCCAACAGTGGGAGGTAAACATTAAACACAGAGGGCATGGCTTGGACCTGGAGCAGCTTCTCACATATGGGAGGCCCGAGGAGATTGTTATTGACGGCCCTTGACTGGCAGTGGACAGAATCAAAGCTGGGGGGTCTGTCTTGACATACACCCACAACCAGCAGGTGGGCTGGGACCTTTATCGGCTGCCTGAGAGGTGAGTGTTCAGCACTCCAGGATACGCCTTTGGCTGGACCATTTCTAGCCTGTTTCATTCACTGTCCCGTCGCCCCCGCACAACAAAAAGAAGGGGACGTGCCGTGGAATGGAGCCAAACTGATCAGAGGAAACGCCTTTCTACCCCACACCCAATCGGCCTGCGGCACTCATTGCCACAAGGTATTGTTGGTGCTTAGCAGGATTTCTAAAAGAGGCAGTCATTTTGATGGAAAAAAAGACCGTGCAGAGTTAGGATACATGTTCAAGGAATAAACTAGGGCTATGTAAGGACTTTAAACCCTCATGCTTCGAGGCACAACCCTGCAGCCTCTAACAACTGGGGGCTAGAGTGACCATTGTCTGCGGGGCAGGTGATCCTGCAACTGCAGCATTTCTTTCATGTGAAGCAGCTGGGGCTGGCTATTGTACGAATCAGGATGCTGGGCTAGATGAGGCGTGGGTTGGATCCAGTCTGGTGGTTCCTCAGCCCTGTGCTCCCAGGGGAAGGAGGCACAGGAGGGAATGATGGAGGGCCAATCTCTGTGCTCGCTTGGTCTCAGTGCCTGGAAACTCCTCCCCATCCTTGTGGGTTTTTCTTTTTTGTGACGTTGGCAGATTTGGCTTCCTGCCAGTGGCTTTCATGTTCCTCTTATAACCCCTTGGCCCCAGCATCCTGCTGAGGATTCTGTCCCCATCTGGACCGCCCTGAGGCTCTTCCACACCAGCCTGTGGGTAAGTGTGGCTGCCTGGATATCACGGGGTGACTGGCCCTTTAAGAGGGGCAGGGATCCCCCTGGGCATCAGGGAAGCCATTGCAGGTACTCCTAAACTCCACTCCCTCTTAAAGGGCCAGTTGCCCTGTGTCATAGGTTCCAGCCTTTGGAGAACCTGCTGTGGCCAGTGCACCTGCTGAAAGCCAGGGAGGCCAGCCCCAGGACCCCTGCCATGCAGTGTGAAGCCTGGCATGGGCACTGCCAGAGCAGATTCCCAAGAAGAGCAGGGCACTGTCTGTGGGCTGAGTAAGGGGAAGCCCATATAACGCCTACACCGCTGAAAGGAAGCTGTTCACAGAGGCATAGAGACAGGGGTGGGCTCCACACTCCTCTGGCTGAGGAACACTTCGCTGTCAGGGGGATTGAAGCCCCAGTAAATACTGATGGGGGAAAATACCGGCAGGGCCTCCAGCTGGAGGGTGACTGTAGCAGCTGGCTTCTGGGCATCAGTCCCCTACAGTTACCCCTCACACACAGGCCAGGCCAGGCCAGTGGAGATGATATCAGAGTAGCAGAAGAGCCACTGGATGGGGAAGATCCCATGTGGGCTCTCACCTGGGCAGCATCCTCTGTTCTTCCCCCTCCCACAGGAGCAGAGCAGCCGCAGGAATGGCAGCCTCTTGCCGTCTCAAGCCCTTGAGCCGTGTGGCCGTGAGTGGGGGCACCCATGGCAATGAGATGTCGGGCGTCTACCTGGCCAAGCACTGGCTGCGGGACCCCATGGAGCTGCGGCGTGACAGCTTTGCCGTCACGCCCTTCCTGGGCAACCCGTGTGCCATTGAGAAGTGTGTGCGGTACGTGGGGCGGGATCTGAACCGCACCTTCACCACCGAGTTCCTCAGGTGAGCTGCCCCAGCACGCACCACTCTGCACTGGCCCCCGGGGCGGTGGGGAGAGCTGTCCCAGCATGCAGCGCTGCACTGGTTCTCGGGGAGTGGGTGGGAAACTTATCCCATGATGCATCACTGTGGAGAGGCTTCCAGTGACGGGTAAGGTATCCCATGATGCATCATTCTGCAACAGTTCCCAGGGCTGGGATGAGTTATCCTAGCATTCAACACTCTGTACTGCTATCCCAGGGGGTGGTGGGAAGCCCAGGGATCTTCCATGAGCTGGGGCTTCATAGCCCATGAGAGAGCACCATGTGGGGTGACTGATCACATGCCCCACATAAGTGGATAGGGTTTCCCTCACACTGCACCCCCCATGGGACCCCTCTTCCCTCACACTACTCCCCCCAGGGATCCTGCCCCAGAGGGATCCTCCACCCCTCACACTGACACCCCCGCCCCCCCCCGGAACCTTTCCCACACCATGATTGGGGCCACCAACGTGAACTGAAGTGGAGAAGGCTCCCAGCAGCTGGGGGGGAGGGTGAGCCCTACTTGGAGCCATCCCCTGGCTCCGGGGGCCCTGGTGGCTCCATGTGACTCATCTCTCCCTATCCCAGCTCTGCAGAGGCAGAGGACGAGCCCTATGAGGTGGTCCGGGCCCGCAAGATCAACCAGACCTACGGCCCCAAGGGCTCAGCCCAGGCCTTTGACTTCATGTTTGACCTGCACAACACCACGGCCAACATGGGCGCCTGCCTTATCGTGGACTCAGAGGAGAGCCTGCTGCCCATGCACATGTGCCACTACATCCAGGTGGGGCCAGCCTCCAATCTCTCCACTCGCCCTGCACTAGGCCAGGGTCCCCCATCCTAACCCCTCTCCTCTCTCCCCCAGACGCACTACACACGGAGCCCCTGTCCCATCTATCTGTACAAGTTGCCAGGCGAGGAGACTTACTCTATCAACTCGGTGGCCAAAGCCGGGCTAGGTAGGGAGCAGGCACTGCCAGGGGGTAGGGAGAGCCCTGTGGAGTGAGCGAATCTGTCCCAGGGCAGGGAATGGCATTGCTCAGGTACCCCCCCAGAGCCCACCCTCCCATGCCCCTCTGGCACCAAGCACTGCTGCCCCCCACCACGTCCTTGGTTATGTCACCTCCTCCCCACCCCATCACCATTCCAGCAGCTTCACACCCCTGCCCCCTGTGCCCCATGTCCAGTGCCCACTGCCCCTTCAAGCCCCACCTCCCCATCCCCAAGTTCTGCCCCACTCCTAACCCTTGCCCTTTTTTCCCCAGCCCTCAAGCCCTGTCCCTTAGTCACTTATCCCCAAGGCTTCTCTCCTCCCATTCCCAGTGCCCTCTCTTCCCCTCATTCCCATGGCTCCCCATCTCCTTCTCCTGGGAGACACACCCCCTCCCACTGCTGCTCCCAGCTAAGCCCCACCATGACCTCCTCCCTCATAGGGCGCTGCCTGCCCCAGCTCTGAGACTGGCTCCTTCGGGGCTCCCATGGCAAATGGGGTGAATTGGGGTGGCTCGACAGAGTGCAGTAATGCTGTGTGGGGCTCTGTCACCCTCCAGTGTCCCGATCACAAATACAGATTTCTGAGGCTGCTGCCTCCTGCAGTTCACACCGTAGTGGCTTCTGGCTGTGACTATAGAGGCCAAGGGTTCAATCCCCATGCTGAGGATTATTGCATAGGTGCTCTGTCAGCAGATAGTAGCCATCCTTTCTCCAGTCATTCTCAGATCATTGAATCCACATCCCTGCTGATGCTCACAAACTTACTGAGCTCCATCTTAACCCTAATTAGTTATCACACTGCTTTTCTAAGCAAGCACATTTATTCCTAAAGTGAAAGCATGACAGAGAAAAGCTGCTAAAACAAAAGACTCGACACTACTGCTAATAAGCTTCCCGACTCCTGCCACGGCTCTGCCCAGTGATCAGTCCTTCAGACCCCACCCATGGATGTTTCTGTGGTCACCAGTTCATCACACCAGGGGACTCAGAACAAGCATCCCCATGAATTAATGTGTCCCTCTTTCCTACAGTTTGGCCCTCTGCTCTTGTCCTCATGTAACCAGTGATCAGCAGACAAAGTTCCCATTCTCAGGGCGAAGCTTCTTGCATAGCAGAGGAGTTACATTTGCATCCTCCTCCCCCTCAAGATTTCCTAGGGAATCACTTCACTTGAAATGCCCAGTCTTGCCTGGCCCATTGCTCCAAGTAGTCCTTTGAAGCTCCTAACTTGCCCCAGGATTTACCTTAGTCCTGCCCCGCCGAGAGACGTTCCATGCCATCCCCCAATAACACACAAACATCTGCATTTTCAATACAACCAATGCCTAAGGTGCTTAAACATACCAAATTAAGTTAAACTTCCTTGAAAGAAGGTTTGTGCAGGATATTTCAGGGAATTGCCCTACACAACCCCCCTACCCCACTGGGAGGCTCATCTGGACCCTTGCTGATCTGATGGGTAGACCCCACCTTTCATTTCTAGCCTGCATTTATGCATGGCTGGGTGATCCCCCTTCGTTCTTGTGCCGATGCTGCCCCTTTAGCTTGGCTAGCTCACCCCCCTCCCTGGTGTTTTCCCCCCGAGGTGGTTAAAGTTTTTCCAAAACCTGGGATTGAGCCAGGCTTAGAGTGCCAGGCCTTCAGAGAGGGATGGGTTGGAGGTCACACCTGAGGTTGGTGGCAGAGGCAGGGATGAACCCCACGGCTTCTGCATCCCCATCCAGAGCCTTTTCCGCTGTCTCATGCATGGCGGGTCTTGAGAGCAGTGAGGGCCAGGTGTGTGAGGTCGGGGTTGGGGGTGAGTGGGATGAAAGGACACGGGTAGTATTTTAGCAGGCACCTGGGGCATAGCTGTGATTGAGGGAGGGGGTGGGTGATGCTCTCCCCTGGGGCAGGGCCCCGGGGGTAGCAATGGGCATTGGGGCATGTTTGGGGGACTCCTTGCAGCATGCTCTGGGGAGAAGTGCTGGGGAGGGCGCGGTAGCCAAGCTGTAACTGGGTCTCTGTGGTCTCCCTGCAGTGCTGGAGCTGGGGCCACAGCCCCAGAGGGTGGTGAGAGCTGACCTGTTTGCTCAGATGAGAGCCCTCATTGCCTGCGCACTGGACTTCATCGAACTCTTTAACAAGGGTGAGTTATCCCAGAGGAGCCATGAGCTATCCCACCTGGCATCACCCTGGAGATGAATTGAGCTATCCCATCACACATTGCTCTGCAGTGCCCTAGGGGTGGGTGAAAAAAAGCCTCAAATATCAGGACTGTCCCTATAAAATCGGGACATCTGGTCACCCTAGGTGAGGCCCTCCTCCCATATCAATACTTTGAGGAGGTCACCTTCCTCACCAGCCACAGCGGTGGGAGCCTGTGATTAACTGGGGGGGGCGGGGGGGAGAGCAGCCTTCCTTTGCAGTGCCCCCCCATTCTGAGCCCTCTGCTGCTCCCTTTGCCCCATAGGCACAGTGTTCCCTGCCTTTGAGATTGAAGCCTACAAGATCACCGGGCTCATGGACTATCCCCGCTACCCTGATGGGGAGATCTCAGCCATGGTGCATCCCAAGCTGCAGGTGGGTGTGGGCTTGGAATAGGGTAGTCCCAGCACCCTGCATTGTTGTTCTCTCTGGGAGAGACGGATCACAGCTGTAGCTCCAGCGTGTGCGCAAAGCCAGCCTGGCAACGACAAGGCCTGGTTCACTAGCCCGGATTCTCTCTCAGCCCTTCTCTGAGCTCTGGGTAGAGCTGGGGGGGGGGGGGGGGGCTTTAAACCACCTCTGTGCTCCCTGCATTGTGGGTTGTGCGCCTGGCCGCTGGTGTGGGTTAAAGCAGCCTAAGGGCTGCTGTGAGCTACCCTCTGCTCTCCGTGGTCCCAGGGTGGCAGAGAATATCCAGAGCATAATGCACCCCACCCCCACCCAGTCTAGCCCATAGTGGGGGCTGGGAGCAGGGCTCTTACACCAGCTCTAGAGCAGCTGGGATGTCTCTGCTCTTGTTTCTACTTCTGAGCGGCACAAAGGGACCTTAGTGCAACTGAGGCCTGTACCCCAAAGGCTCCGCCATGGCAAGGCAGTGCCAGAGTTAGCCCCAAGCTCAGCGGGGTGAAGCTGGGTTTATTCCGGGGCACGGGGCGAGTGAAGTTGATTCCATGTTCTTGGTTATGCAGCCCTCAGGCTCAAGGGAGCTGTACACTGTAGCAATACAGCATCAGGCTGGGTGACACTGGACAGCCGGGAGATGAGTTGGGGTGGGCTTAGTTCACAAGGCACTGTGACCTGCATGGGGTCTTGCCACATATCTAATGAAATGTTTGGTTACCAGAGAGTACTGCCAGGACAGTGGGGATCCTGGCCTCAACCAGCAGGGGGTGCTGTAGAGAGCAAGGCAAGAGCACTGGCTGTGGGGGAGGAGTTCCTGGCTACTCCAGCCCCAGCCAATCACCAACCTGTTCCACCCTTAGGATAAGGATTTCCTCCCCTTGAATCCCGGGGACCCAATCTTCCAGACCTTCAGTGGGGAGGAGATCCTGTACAAGGACGACACAACCATCTACCCAGCCTTCATCAACGAGGCTGCCTACTATGAGAAGAAGGTGGCCTTTGCCAAGATGGAGAAGCACACATTCTCCATGCCCGGCCTGCAGCGAGAATGAGCCAGGTGGGCCATGGGCTAAGAGGGAATAAACAGAGTCTGAATGGATATGACGGTGTGTGCCATGAGGGATGGGATGGGTGTTACCAGGCGGACATCACCCTTGTGTTGTGATGGAGGGGCTGGGCTGGGTGTTGGATGCACTATCTGGTAGCACCACCTATTATCCAGGTTCCCCAGCACTTCCCAGTGCACGTCTTTTCTTTCTTTCTTATAACTTTGAAAAACTGACCATTCAGGCTGAAACTTTCCAGGCCAGCCTGGTGTCTGCCTCAGGCAGAAATTTTTTTGGAACATTTCAGCCATTCAGCCTTTTCCCAAGAACAAGGCTAGGGCAAAGGTGTTGTTTCGCCAGGTTAATTTCTACAACAGTTTCTTTGCAAGGTTCTAGCGCCCCCAAGCAGCAGGGTGGCCTTGGAGGGGGAAGGATAGCTCAGTGGTTTGAGCATTGGCCTGCTAAACCCAGGTTTGTGAGTTCAATCCTTCAGGGGGCCATTTAGGGATCTAGGGCAAAAATTGGGGATTGGTCCTGCTTTGAGCAGGGGGTTGGACTAGATGACCTCCTGAGGTCCCTTCCAACCCTGATATTCTATATTCTAAGTGAAGGGAAGTGCCGTTTGCCATCCCCATCAAAATCCACCCAAATTTGGCCAAGTGATAAGCCTTTGGAGAATCTGAGTTTGCACACGCTCAGTAGGGCCTTTTTAATTCCCTGAAGTTTCTGTCCACACTGAGCATGCTCCAACCCCTCCCAGCTCCTAGAAGGGACTAGAGTGCCCATGGGCCCGCCCCACAGGGTGACTGAGCGTGCTCCAGTCTGGGGCTGAGCCAGATTTTCCCTGCAATTGTTACTCCTGTCTGCTGTGGTGCCAGGCAGCAGCACACAGAGCGGGGCACCTGGCTCTCCTGTGCACTCAGTGACCCCCTCAGGTGCTGTGGGGGAGGTGCAACCTGAGTCGACTGCAGTAGCAGGAGCAATGCAGGAGTGAGGACAGGTGTAGGGTGGGAGAGTGAAGAGGTAGGGGCTGTCTTGGGGGAGGCCCTGGGGGAGGAGGATGGGCAGGAACCAATGCAGCGGGAGGGGGGCTGGAGCCAGGGAAGTGAGGGGGTGGCGAAACAGGGCTAAAGGTGAGGGTGGGAGGTGTGGTGAGTCCCCTCAGGCATGCCGTGGCCTGGCTCAGAACTGGGCGATCATAGAGGCCAGTTCCAACCTGCTGAGGGGAAGCAGAAGAGGCTTGGAGTAGCATGGGATGGGTCTGTCCCACACACCCCCACCCCCCAGTCCACTGTTTTCTTCCTCTCGTATGAGGCCAGGGCAATAATCAGGATCGTTAACAGCCCCCCAAAATCATGGCCTCGATCCCTAGTGCCCCCTGCTGCCACCAGTGGGCCAGCTCCAGTGGCTGCCCCTAGCCTTCATGGGATTGCTCAGCATGGCTCTGCCACCCCGGGCATAGCCTGGCTTCCTGCGCAGCCCCGAGCCTGAGCGGTGGAGCCTCCTTTGGACTCAGGGTTTCACCCCCTGCCGGGAGCAGGCGCAGCTGGGGCGAGAGCAGGGAATGGGCCCCATTTTGGGCTCAGCTGTTCCACACCCAGCCCTGGGGTTTAGCTTTAACCAGCCCTGCGGGAGGCAGAGAAGCCGCAGGTGGCATCGGCCAAAGGCCAGGGTTAAACATTAGCCCTGCAGTCTGCTCTGGCCTGGGGCTGCCAGGGCTGCCTGCTGGCTCCCCTGGGGAGCACAGTGCAAATGGCCCTTGCTCAGTACTTCAGAGGTGGTGTCTGCCAGCTGGAGACCAGGGGCGCCGCCAGCCTTTTCCTGGTGGGGAGCTGAGATGGGCTAGACAGAAGGGGGGGGACTGTGCCCCTCACCATGAGGCCCTGCCCCTCTCTGTGGCCCCACCCCCTGCTACTTCTCAAAAGGTCTCCCCTCCTCCTCCTCCCCCCCCCCCCGAAGGTCCTACCCCCTGGCCAGGTTAGAGGCTGGAAGCCAGAGCCAGGCAGTTTCGGGCGCTGGCTACTCGCAGCCAGTAGGAGCTGCCTGGGAAGGGCGACTCAGCTCTGGGGCCAGCAGAGCCCTCGAGGAGCAGCAACCACGAGGGGTGGGGCCCAGGAGCCCAGGCCAGAGTGGGTTAGTCCAGGCTGCTGTGGGGAGCCCCGGACCCTCCACCTGTCCTGGGCAGTGTACCCCAGCAGGCAGGGACAGGGGCCGGGGCCTACCCTCAGGCACACCAGCTCCCACACCCAGGCTTACTCCTTCGCTGCTGCTGGAGCTGGGTGCCCAGCCAGCAACCGCTGCTCTCTCTGCTCTGCCTTCAGAGCTGGGCGGCCAGAGAGCGGCAGCTGCTGCAGAGTGGCGGGGGGATATGCAAATTTTGCAGTGACTATAGCTCTAGCAAGTCCCCTTCCCCGACCCCTCACCTAGCCCTGCCCCTGCTGGAAACACTGTTGGACGTACAAACCTCATTGCGGAGCAGTCACTAGAGGGAGACACAGACCAGCACAGCGGTAACCTGGGGGATGGTAAACTCATCCCCATCATTGCGTTATCTTCCTGGGGCTGGATGGGAGCTGGGGACCTGGAGGAGAAAGGCACTATGTCCCATTCCCCACTCCCCTGAGCCAACTAATCCCAGCCCCTGGGGGCCACATGGGATCCAGCACCCCCAAGAGGAGAAAGACACCGTAATTCCATTTCCCACCGCCAAGCCAGCCAGGCCCCTTCCCTCCGGGGCTGCATCAGAACACAGGAACAGCTAGACTGGATCAGAGCCAGTGCAGCTAGTCCAGTATCCTGTCTCGGACCGTGGCTAGCACCAGATGCATGAGTTTAACAGTCAGCACTCTGCATTCCCAGACACATTCACCTCTCCCTCCCACCTCTCCTAGCTGCTTTATTCATAGGAACGAAATGTCTCCCTACTAAACATCAAAGAAGATGAGTCATGTGGACTCCTCCCCCCAGCCAGAAAGGGGTGCTGCAGGGGTTACAGGGATATAGCAAATTGAGACAGAAAAACATTCCATCCCCCTATGCAAAAAATCCCATCTTTGCCTTCCCAGGAATCTGGCCTTGCTTCCTAGAAGCAGGAGACAAATGACAAGCTTGTGGGAATACCTCCATTCTAGAACCACCCCCATATGTGAAGAATCTGGTGGGAAATAGGTTTATTTCTATTTATTCTATTATGCTGAAGTTTGGATGCAAACTGGCAGCAAATATTTCACCACAATGAAAAACAGCTGGTCTTCACAAGCTTGAGCCTAAATCATCCATCGCTGCTGTTGAGCCCCTTGACTGAGCTGTCCCCCAGTATCTATGGCCACCCTCTGAAAAGGGGCCTCTATCGTAGGCAGTGGCCTCCTGGCTACTGCACATGTATCAGGGGCTTTTTCCAATCTTGCATAGGAATCACATATTATGCAGTATTCCTCAGCTGCCTCAGTTTCCCCATTTTCAGCTGCGGTCTTGACCAAAGCAATGAAGAGTTGTGCCTCAATTTCCCCTCTTTCAGCATCAATCTTGGCCGAAGCAATGCTGAGCTGTGCCTCAGTTTCCCCAAGGCTAACATAATCCTATCCCCTAAAGAATTTGGTTAAGGATCAGTGCTGGGATGCAGGAGGCCCAAGGTCAATTCCCTGCTCTGCCACAGATTCACTGTGTGACCTTGGTTAAGTCATTTCACCTCTTCAGACTTCACTTGCAAAATCAGGATAATGATGCAGCTTTGGTTGTTTCATCTGTTTAGACTGCAAGCATTTCAGACAGGGACGGCCTATGACTCTGTGCCTGGGACAATGGGCCCCAATCTCGTTTACTATGTCCATGCAGAGTCCGGCAGAACAGGCCCTGATCTCCATGACTGTCTGTACAGCGTTCTGCACAATGGAGCCCTGATCTCAGCCAGAACCTCTAGGCACTGCCATAAATACAAATAGTAAGAATAATAGATTTAGAAGCCAGAAGGGATTGTTATGATCATCTGGTCACATGCATAACACAGGCTAGAATATCTTGCTGCAGAGGAAATCATTTATCTGCACTCCATGCAGAAACTGCTCTCTCCATGGGTAAGAATCAGCAATGTGTGTCAAACCCACTGCCTTTCAATATCTTCCAAGCTCTGAAAGGCCAACACACAATCCATTATCACCACCAGTACAGGATACTCACTGTACACTGAGCCAGACCCCAATGGGATCATCATCAACCTCCATGCGCTCTGGATTGCACCATTAGTGTATTTCCTCTCTCAAAGATGAATCGGGGTTTGCCAAAGCCCAGAACTGTAGAGTCTGAGATGGAAAAGTCCCTTTACTTTCTAAAAACTAAACCAGACATACCCTGAGGCTTATCTTCCTGCGGAAACTGACCGGGATAGTGGAATAAACCATTCCAGAATATCTTCCCCCTGTGGAGACCCTATTCCAGAACAAAACTAACTTTAATCCAGAATATTTACTCTGCTTTGGAAGTCACTTTTATTGTGGAATAGAGCAGCCACATGGGGACTTATTCTGGCAGACCTGTAGCAGAATCATTTATTCCACTGTTGCACGGCTGGTCAGTTTCCTTGGGTAGATAAATTTCCAATGGGATCAGAAAAGAGCAATTTTAAAGAAAGCCACTTACTAGCGTGGGGGGGGGGGGGCTCACCCAGCTGGGAGATTGAACCTGGATACAAGGCTACTGTCTCAGGGATGCTGCTTGCAGGGGTGGCCAACTGCTGCAGCCCAACTGGGATATGGGGCAAACTCATGAAACAAAGAACTGCTCTTTTCTAGCTAAGGTACTTATGCCCCCCTCCATAGTGTCTGAGTGCCTTCCAGTCCGTAATTGGCTGAGCAGGCTATATGCAGTATTGTGGCAGGCACGTTCGCCCCAGGATAAGAGAGACACAAAGTGTGTGAGGTAATCACTTTTATGAGGCCAGCTTCTGTTGGTGAAAGAGACAGGCTTTCGAGCGTATACAGGGAAGACCTGAAGCAGAGTTCTGTGGAGCTTGAAAGGTCATCTCTTTCTCCAACAGAAGTTGGTCCAATAAAAGATA